TGTTGCTGGGCAGTTTTGGCAGAAGAACAAAGATATAATCCCTTGAAGATGCTGAAGGTGTGACCTAGCATGAATGAACTTACCTCTCCACTCCCTCCCATCTCCTTCACCCCCTAAATCTAGGAAGGACAGAAGGATGTGAAGACAGAAAAAGGCTCATGGGCTTGGAGATATCTGTAGAGATCAGGGAATGCAGATGTCAATGGGTTGGCAAGCAGGGGTCACAGAGCTGGAAGAATTGTCCCCTGAGATACTGGAGCATACAGCAGCAGCTGAGGAGCAGCCATATGTGAGGATGCTAAGGTGTGGCCAACAGTGCAGGGCTGCAATGCAGCAGAGGTGAATGTCACTGTGGATGAGGTCCAGCGACTACATAGGCTAGGCCATCTGTCATGTGGACAGAGAGGTGATCAGGATGACAGTGTGACTGGGGAGAGAGATGAAGATGTAGGGCTATGATAAGAGTCTTAGTGGAAAGGTTCCATTGAAGCCCCACGTGCAGAAGAGGGGCAGTGATGCTTAGAAAGCAGAATTAATGACTAGGGAGAAAATCAACAAGGCTGCCCAATGTATGATATGGGGGAACCGGGAGAGCAAGGTGTGGAGGTGCTGAGGAGAGGCTATCCCTGGAGGTGTGCATGCTTTCAAATCTCTGCCACTAGATTCTAAGTAACTTCAGGGTCTTCATCTCTTTTGTCTCCCTCAAACACCTACTGTAATGCCTTTTTCTAAAGAAGAATTCAAGCATTTGATAAATAAGCAAACATATTTTCCAGTTTTGTTTCTAATGGAAGCAAATACATTAGCTTACAAATTTTGACTAATTGGGGGAAAATGGTCTATCTGAATTAGTAGGAAGTGTTTAACTAATAGGATCTATTTAAAGAAGCAAGGTCTTACTGACTTCAAATGCCCACAAGAACGTTTACTAATCAGATAATTTCCAAAACGTTCTTGAAGTCATGTTTTAATAAACAGAACAAAATATTTCCATTTAGCATCCTATTTATGTATATAAAAATGTGTACTTCAAAATAGCTGAATCCACTGTCTTAGCAGGTAAACATCTTGCCGCCTCCCTTGTAATATTATTTATAGTTAATTTCCATAGCAATCCCGCTTTTCTTGGGTTGTGAAATGCATGTATCCGAATTAGCACACATTAGAAAGTCATGGCTCCAAATTAATGAAGTGGATTTGGACTACACCACACTGAATGATTCCCATGTGGACAAGCAAGTTCAAGATAAGCCAAAGGAGACTGTGGGCTCTCTGCTCCTACATCGTGAGGAGGTTCAGATCAGACCTTTCTAGGCCAACCTTGAGCTAAAATATTCTCTCAGTCACTAAAAGGGCAGCCATGTCTGCTTATTTTTTTCTAGTTTCAATGAAAATTTACTTAGTTTCAATAGAAAGAAGTCAAGAAAATCACTGTCTCCTGGGTCTGTGTCTAAGATCTTTGAAGGTGCAGCAATAGGCTTTTCAAAACATACCTATACAAATAAATATTTCCACCGGACACAAAATTGACATTCTAGTTCATGGAATACATCTAAACTTAAAAGAGACTTTTAACTGGAATTTACCTACTGAAGACGAAATCCTGTTCTCTCCATTATGACAGCAGATGAGACCTCAAGAACAAGGCCAAAAGACTGTCATTGCATTGATCTGCAGTCAATATGCTATGTGAATAGAGGTATTGGGGAGACAGAATGCATTTTTGCTACCTAAATCTATAGCTACAGGTCAAGTTATTATCCTGGTAACAGTTCCATTAGGAGTAATGATGTGAAAAGAGGTATTGCATTAATGTACTGAGTTTTCTACTATGGTAATAGTGGGTCATTAAGAATCATAGTCGAACCATTTGCATTCATCTTTAGTATGCAGTACGCTCTAAAAGGAAATTTCCCTCCTTTCCTATTTTAATACATGAAGAAGAAGCAAGGGCTAATTTAAAAGGAGCTCAGATAATCTGAAAAAGTGGAATAAGATCAACAATTAAACTAAATAAAAGAGTTAAAGCATCTCTTCTGCTTAATATAATTTGAGTCTCAAGGCACAGGTAGTATGTGAAGTCACCAGAGAAATGACAAATATTCAGTCTGATCTGTACATGAATAATGACTTTTCCCATATGCCAGCCTTCATTTGAACCCTGACCTTTAATTGTATATAAATAAGCGGCAGGTGGCTGGGCAGACCCTTCCTTCAGAATGCTGCTCCTCATGTAATCATCATCAAGTGAATGCAGCAGCACGTGGCGTGTCTGACATGCTGAATGTGCCACTCTGTGAATAGGGCAGATTGACCATGTTCCCCAAACAGTGATCTATCCACACTGTCGTTTTCCTGAGGATCTTTTAATTTGGGTTTTTCTGGCTGGCTGTGCAGGGAAAAGCAGAATATGGCATGGACTTTGAAAGGAAGTCACTGTGTCTAGCAGACACTTTAAGAAGCAGGAGTAGGTTGGAAGAGCTTTCACGTTGCTGTGAAATCTTCTAAGAACTCTGGCTGGCAGTCACAGCACAGCTTCAGATTTGATGACTCAGTTTTAACTTGTGGTCAAATCAAAGTTTACATCATGGAAGGAAATCAAGGTTTAGAGCTGGCAGAACTGAAAACCAGGTCTTCATTAGATCTGCCAAACTCCTAGAGTTCACAAGGGGCAAGGGACAATAGTCTCTGCAGTCAGGTCCCAGGGGACAAGCAGAGGGACCCAACTGGGGACCACTTGCAGCCAGGGATGTACAGAGGGAGAGGGAGTCATGGGAGGCAGCCCGCCCACACATCTGAGTGAGTGGACCACAACCAGGGTCCCTCCCACTCTCTTTCCTCTTACTGTCTTAAAGCTATCGTTTGAGACTCCACATCAGCTGGGCAGTTTAGACACATCTCATTTAATCTCTCAGCAGCCAGTGGGGGTAGGTACTGTGCTCCTAAATTACCAATGACAAAATTCAAGTATGGCAGCTTAAATAACTGGCTTCAGACTGCATAGCTAACAGGAGCTATTTTCCACATAAATGACTTACATTTACAGTTGTATTTGTGCACACAGTGATTGTAAATGAAGTGACTGTAAATGTAAAAAAATGGTTGAATTGTAAACATAAGCAAACTCATGGCTAAGTGAATCCTCCTATGTTAAACTTGAGAATGCTGGATGTTACTTTCAACCTCACAAAACAGACTTGAATATAAACAGACTAAATGTCCCCCAATTAAAAGGCAGAGTAGCAAGTTGGGTAAAGAAGCAAGATCCAACTCTATCTTCAAGAGACCCATCTCATTTAATTTTTTGAGAAAGTTTATAAAATTTGTTATTCATATTTTTAGAACAACCAAGGATGAGAAAGATTACATAAATTACCATAGTCACAAAGCAGTCCCCAGTACATTTACTTAGTAATTGCTAATTAAAAGGAGCAATGGCCAGGCACGGTGGCTCACACCTTTAATCCCAGCACTTTGGGAGGCCGAAGCAGGTGGATCACCTGAGGTCAGGAGTTGGAGAGCAGCCTAACAAACATGGATAAACCCTGTCTGTACTAAAAATACAAAATTAGTTGGGCATGGTGGCACATGCCTGTAACCCCAGCTACTCAGGAGGCTGAGGCAGGGGAACCATTTGAACCCAGGAGGTGGAGGTTGTGGTGAGCCGAGATGGTGCCATTGCACTCCAGCCTGGGCAACAAGAGTGAGACTCTGTCAAAAAAAAAAAAAAAAAAAAAAAAGTTAGCAATGATAATGACATTTAAAAGATTGTATTACGTAGTGCGTTTCTTTTCTTTTCTTTTCTTTGAGATGGCGTCTCACTCTGTTGCCCAGGCTGGAGTGCAGTGGTGCAGTCTGGGCTCATTGCAACCTCCACTTCCTGGGTTCAAGCGATTCTCCTGCCTCAGCTCCCGAGTAGCTGGAACTACAGGCATGTGCCACCACATCCAGCTAATTTTTTGTATTTTTAGTAGGGACAGGGTTTCACCATGTTAGTCAGGATGGTCTCGATCTCCTGACCTCATGATCTACCCTCCCCAGCCTCCCAAAGTGCTGGGATTACAGGCATGAGCCACCGTGTCTGGCCTGGTTTTCTTTTATATAAGCCTCTTCGTTTGCTGAAACCATAGATTTTAAGTTGCTCTATCAAAGTGATAATTAGAAAAATGTGATATACTTAGCACATAAATTTTAGGAAATTTCCCCTATTACTCTTGTTTGGTTGAATATGTGTGTTATTTTCCAAAAATGTAAATTGAATATATATGTGTTGAATCCATGTATGTATTGAAAATATAAGTTGACATCACAGAGTAGACTTAGTTCATGGCAATGCTTTTTCTGAAAGCACCTGGGTCTCTCTAGTTTCTAAAAACCTCACAGGCCACAGGGGAAAGGGCATTCTTTGGATGCCAGATAATGCATGAAGCATATTTGGTTACAGTAATTTTAGCGTAATTCATTGTAAAGTGATGATCTCTAGGAACTTCCTCACAGTGGAGCAACCTGAAAGCTCCCAGCAGCCAGCAATGAATGAAAGGTGGGGGCGGGGCTGCCAGCAGGGCGGGGCCTAGTGAGCCAGGGGCCTAGGCTCCCACATCACAATAGGGGCGGGGGCGCGTGGAGGGGACTCTGGGTCTGATTGGTTCCTGGGAACCAGGAGGGAGCTCTGGCGGTTGGCAGGGCAACCTCGTTCAGTTGGTGGGAAGCAGTGGAAGGAGGAGGAGCTTCCTATGTGCTCTCTTCGCAATCACAGCTCTCAGGCTTGTTGCATTAGACCCATTCTAAATAAAGCAAGCAGGTTCCCAAAGGACCCTTGCAGACAAGTCAGCTCAGGGGAGGCGGCAGAGGCGGGGTGCGGGCTGCTAGTGGGGTGCAGCCCTATAGCCAGGGGCTGGCCCTGCCAGCGTGCCGTTGTTGGGAAGAGGTGGTAGTGCTGAGCTCTGCAGACTTGGAAGCAAGGGAAGACCCAAGCTGCTGGAGAGGAGTGGGGCTACCCCATGGGGAACACGCTGAGCTGTTGCTTGGGCACCAACCCCAGCCCCAGGCAGGGTCTGTCCAGGGGGTCTGCGGAGCTGTACTGCGGCTCTGACATCTATGAGGCGGTGGCAAGCAGAGGTGCAGGCCAAGGCAGAGAGGAGCGGAGGCACAGTAGATGGAACTTGCTGTTCCCCAATGCCAGCCCCAAGCAAAGCCAGCCCCGGGTGCAGTGGACAGAACCGCCCTGCAGCTGTAACATCACGGAGGCGGATGTGGCACTAGCACCACACCCCCCTGCTGTGGAGCCTGTCCAGTCTGATTTCGGAGCCCAAGAGGGCCATGACCTGCAGCACATCCGCGACCAGGAGATGCCCAAAGGTAAGGAGGCGACTGATACTGTTTGCCCTCAGGCGCGCCTCTGGCTGCCGCTGACCCAAGGTCCCCACTAGAGGCATCCACAGCCTTGGGCTCCTGCCTTCTGCCTCTAGCCAGCTTTCCTAGGCCCAGAGACCAGGCAAGAGGACTGGCCTTGCTTCGTGCCTGCCCACCCTCTCCCTCATTCTTTTTCCCTGCAGCATCTGGTGGTTTCTCTCCTCCTCCCTGCCCCAGTGCCCAGTTCTGGCCCCTTTGTCATCCCCCCAGGCTGGCGGAAAACTAAGTTTTCAAAATAGAAAATGTATGCTACAGATTTCATTTCTGTAGAGGAAGTGTCTTACAGCTCTTCTCCAACTTTGGTTGGCTTCTTAATTTAAACGTTAGAATAATTAAGCTTCATGAGAGATATGCCTTTGTAACTGGAAAGTACTGTACTCTCGGAATATTCAAAAAATGTGAAAGAATGAACAAAGATAGTATGTGAATGAATTGTACCTTTATACACAAAGCGTGCAAGTACTTGTGAATGTTGTTCCTTGTTTGGTGGTGTAAGGTAAGCCTCTGAGTGGTTTTACACACTAGGTGATAGATGGGTAGTGTTGGATGAGAGTCCAAAATAGACTATATCATTCTTTAGGATTACAGCACATTTCCGTGTACGTCTCATTTCACCCTGTCTCTACAAAAAAAAAAAAAAATGGTCAAAGATTAGCCAGATGTGGTAACTTGCAGCAATAGTCTCACCTGCAAGAGGATCTCTTGAGCCCAGGAGTGTGAGGCTTCAGTGAGCTGTGCTGGCTCCATCGCACCATTGCACCACGCCAGCCCGGGCAACAGAGTGAGACTCTGTCTCTTTAAAAAACTGCTTTTTGCACAAAATAGGTCTTTGTTTTAACATATTTGACATATTGAGCCGGTGTCTGACAGTAATTGACCACAGCATCACTTACTGCTTGAGACTTTCCCTGAAATGTGCTGGTAATAGCAGCATAGAGAGGGTGGGTATATTTAATAAGAAGAAGGAGGAGGGCATGTGTATGATTCATCTGTAAGTTGCATCAGTTTATTTAGGTGCAAATTTTAAAAAGAAGTCCCAGACACAGCCTGGTTTTATTCCCCATATGTGGAGAACTTCTGTGATTTTTGCATTCTCCAGTAGAATTGGGACATTGTGGCATTTATTTTCTTTACATTTATTACTAAAAACTTTTCTCAAGACTGTTAAAGGTGATTAAAATGCATGTGCAGCTTTAAAAAGAATCTTTTCTACTCATCTAATTATTACATTGCTCCTTCTTCCTGTACAGATTTTGCTTCTGACTATCCAAGGGAAAGCACACTCTTCCTGAGAAAATATCAAATGAGTGGTAAGACAATATTGCTTCTTCCTCCAAGCAAAAAACTACAAACTTTCTGTTTTGTGTATTACAGAAAGTATTTAGAGGGACTCTAATACTTTTGGGATGCTTGCAGGGATTCTAGTGCATCTGGAGATTGCCTCCTGGTCAGAAACTGGTTCTTAGAGCTGTCAGCTATTAGATCCTGGTAATGAAAGTAAACTATGTGTAAATGTAGAATCAGAAAACACTACTACTTAGGGGTTCAGATGTACAATAGGTAAATTTTTTATTAGCTGAATTTCTCATCTGTCCTGTATTTTGGCATTTCTATGAAGGAATACTTGAGACTGGATAATTTACAAAGAAAAGAGACTTTATTGGCTCACAGTCCTACAGGCTGTACTGAAAGTGTGGTGCTAGCATCTGCTTCTGGCAAGGGCCTCAAGAAGCTAATAATCACTGTGGAAGGTGAAGAAATCATTTTTCACACGGTGAGACGGAGCAAAAGAGAGTGAGAGGTGCTGCATGCTTTTGAATAAGCAGATCAGGCTGGTGCAGCGGCTCATGCCTGTAACCCCAGTATTTGGGAGGCTGAGGCAGGCAGATCACTTGAGGCTGGAGTCTGAGACCAGCCTGGGCCAACATAGTGAAACTTTGTCTCTACAGAAAATTTAAAAATTAGCCAGGTGTGGTGGTGCATGCCTGCAGCCCTCCTATTCTTGAGCCTAAGGTGAGAGGATTACTTTAGCCCAGGAGGTAAAGGTTGCAGTGAACCATAATCACACTGCTGTACCCCAGCCTGGGCATCAGAGTGAGACCCTGTCTCAGAACAACAACAACAACAACAAAAACCCAAGAAGATTATGCATGAACTCAGAGCAGGAACTCACTCATCACCAAGGGGATGGTGCTAAGCCATTCATGAGGGATCTGCCCCTGTGATCCAAACACTTCCCCACCTCCAACACTGGAGACTACATTTCAACATGAGATTTGCAGGGCACATATGTTCCCTAATTGGTTTTGCCTTTCCTTGTGTGCATGGGGATTCTTTCAGTTTTATGTAATAGAATATCTGTTAGGTCAAAAATAAAACTATGTTTTTAGATTTTACTTTATGAGATTAATCATGCTACATTATTTAAATTATAAATTTTGTTGGTAAGAATTTTTTAAAATGGAATTTTGTTGCATTTTCTATAGTGATAATCAGATGATTAGCAACTATGTTTATTTTATGGTATTTATACCAGAATTGATTAGTTATTTTTTCATTCTTAGTGCAAGAAAAGAGGACCTCTCGCCTATATCATGTAAGTAAGCTTTTGAAAAGTGAAGAAATCAATTGTTTGAATTAAAAGTCTGTCAAGATTCCTTAAACATTTAACAGGGAGCCAGTGCTGTTAGCACGATCCTTTTTTGGTGGATTTTCTAAATCTCTTCTATTTTCCTAAGCATCAGATTTATACAGCTTTTCTTCCCCAAGTGTTGTAACATTTGTTACATGCCTATCAAAAAATAATATTTTACCTACTAAAACATATGTTCCATGTTTTTTCTTGAAGCAACTTTCCTTGGCCTTTGGTTATCCTCCTCCAGGATAGTCTATGTTTCCCTAGGCTGTCCTGGGCCTGTTTGCCTGGGAGCCCTCTACAAACTCTTCTGCCACCACTCTTGTTGAATCACTGAGTCCTAGACTGTGCCTTGTCCTCTGTCTTGTGTTACTCCCCAGTGATGCTGGAGCACAGTTTCCGAGGAAAGGCTCATGAACACACGTGTATAGAATTCTAGCCTCTCTCAAAACCCCTCCTTTGTTATAGAGTATAAAATTCTAGAGTGAAAACTAAATTTCGTAGCTCAGAAGAAATTTTCTATTGTGTTTTCATTATACTGTTCTTGAAACTGTTACCATTGTGTGGTACATCATACGTAACCAAATTTTACATTTCTCAAGCTTTTTTGGACCTTCTCTATCTCTGGGATTCTGAAATTGTATAATAAAGCCTGGAGGGGACATTTTATTGTGGCCACTAAGTGTGCAGACTATCTCTTTTAGAGAATTTTCCTATTTTCTCTGTTTTATTATTATTATTATGATTTTAGTATTCTTATGATTCAGATGTTGGGCCTCCTAGTCCAGTATTTCTGTATTGATCTTTAATTTCTTCCCCTCCTATTTTCCAATTTGTCTTTTGTTCTGCTTCTTAGAGATTCTTTGACTTTCTTCACTAACTGTTCTATTGATTTTTTTTTAACTCCTTAAGGACATTTTAGGATTTTTTAAAACAACTTTGCTCCTGAATTTTTACTGGTCCCAGGAATTCCTTTCTCCTATTGTTTTGATCTCTCATTGGAGGCTTCTCTCAAATGTGTGGTGGTCTTTGGCTTTCTCTAATTGGAAGCAGGACCTTTGTTCCCTGAGGGGTCTCACTGTGGTGATTTGGAAGTCGAGCCAGCTTTTCATTTGGGGGACATCAGTGTATTATGTGAGGGTATGATGTTTCAGTTTTCTTCCAAAAACGGTCTCCCAATTTTCTGCCTTGGCAGTGCAAGCCTGGCTGCTGGCTTTCCAGAAGCAGGTTTGGGAAGGAAGGTGCAGTTTCACTTTGTGTGTGCAATTTGTTCCCATTTCCCAGGTTTTAGTCCTGGGAATAAAAGCTCTGAGCCCAGATATCCTCAGGTATAATTTATCCAGATAACACACATCCAAATTCCTTATGAGAGGAGAGGTGGACTTATGGCTCTAAGCACAGATTTACAGTTGACCTTGCTGGCTTCTGTTACGTGTTTCACCCTACCTTCCCAGGTACCATGTGCCTCTGAGTTTGGAGCCTGGGTTGTGTTCTTTAAAACAAACAATATTGCTTGTTTCTGTTCAAGTCACTCCCTGTCAGCTCCAAAGTTGTGCTTCCATGTCAGTTGCCACTCCTCTATCTGCTTTTCACATTGCAACATTGACTCAGAATCATCCACCATCAATCCTGTCTCCTGGTCCTGTGTATAATGTTTATTTTATGATGAATGCTAATGAGATTTCAGAAAGAAGAGAAAATAAATTTCTGGTCAATACATCATATTTAATCCAAATTTAGAACCCATATGTAAGTGTGAATCTAAGTTTAAATTTGACATAATTATGACATTAATTCAGAAAATTTCTACTTATACCTATAATAAGCATATTCCCACTTTTCCACTCAGGCCTTGTGTAAGAATTCTATCCAAACTCCATACATGCCATGTGGTCCCATTGCTGTGCAGCATAGATGGAGCTGTTTTTGTTAGTTCACAAAGTGTTAGAAATTTTTAAGTTAGTTAAAAGTCATTAATTATTTAAAAAATACCTGAAACATGTCTTGTAAAAAAGTGGGGAGAAAAAAGTGATCCTGAGAGTCACCGTGTCGGTGGCTCATACCTGTAATCCCAGCACTTTGGGGGATCACTTGAGGCCAGGAGTTTGAGAGCAGCCTGGCCAATATGGTGAAACCCCGTCTCTACTAAAAATACAAAAATTAGCCTGGCATGGTGGCACATGCCTGTAGTTCTAGCTACATGGGAGGCCGAGGCAGGAGAATTGCTTGAACGTGGGAGGCAGAGGTTGCAGTGAGCTGAGATCAGGCCACTGCACTGCAGCCTAGGAAACAGAGCAAGACTTCCTCTCAAAAAAATCCACAATTCAATATACGTTCATTGTAAGAAATGTTAAATAGAAGAAAATGAGGACAGATATCACCTAAAGCTATACCAATTAGTCTGTGTTTTGGTATATTATTTTGCTGTTCTTTTTATTCTCATAAATGGATTTTTTCTCAGAATCAAGTTTTGTTATCATGCAGTATTATGCTGTATTACCCCTAATAGTAGTGACCTTAAGGGATACCTTCTTTCACTTTGAATAGAAGTATCTGAATGAGTCCATTTTCATTTTTCATGCTATATTTGTTTTTTGAGACAATCGAAGTATATTCATTGACACACATACACTGTTAATATAAAGTATACACATTAATAGAGTAGCTTAAGAGACATAAGAGTTTAGCTAGAGTTAAAACATTTCTACCTTGAAGGAGAATTTGGTCCTTCAAATAGTAATATTGCTCAAAAACATCTGGAATTTTTGTTAAGAAATAAGTGAATTTACAGTAAGAAGCATCTGAAACAAGCAAAATGGTGTTAGACTGTATGGATATTTCTGATTATTGGCTACAGGCAGTTTTCAAATGCTGTCTACTTTTATAAACAACCACTAGATCTTCTCCCTACCCTGTCTTTCACGTACCTGTGGGAGACCATGATGGAAGAGGGTGATAACATGATGCAGACAAGCATATCCCAACAGGAGGGAAGAAGGCTCATCTGAGTTTTTTTTTAAGTTAAAATAATAGGTATTTTGTGGTTTTAAATAATGCTGTTGATCTTTTCAACTATTTGGTGCCTGGGATTTGGTTACTGGCATTATTATTAAGAGAGTTTTATTTTTTAATTTTTTTACTTTTTAGATGGAGTCTTGCTCTGTTGCCCAGGCTGAAGTGCAGTGGTATGATCTAGGGTCACTGCTACCCTGCCTCCCGGGTTCAAGCAATTCTCTGCCTCAACCTCCTGTGTAGCTGGGATTGCAGGCACGCCCACTACCATGCCTGGCTCATTTTTGTATTTTTAGTAGAGACGGGGTTTCACCATCTTGGCCAGGCTAGTTTTGAACTCTAGACCTCATGGTCCACACACCTCAGCCTCCCAAAGTCCTGGGATTACAGGAGTGAGCCACCATGCCTGGCCAAGAAATGCATTTTCTTAACATAGATGAGGCAGTTTCCATATTGACTATTGCACTCTTGACAAGTGAATAGATATTTTTAAAGTGTTTTAGAGATAGTTTATTTTCTAGAAGGCTCAAAAGATTCACTGTCATCTCTCTGATAGCACTGCAGATAAATTTTCATTGATTTGTAAGTGTAGGAAGATTTACCTTCCAAATTGTAACTGATTTAAATAATTTGCCAAGCACTTATTGAACTCCTTAATTTCTCCCACATCCTGTGCTCAGCAGCTGCAGGTAGGAGAGGAAGGGCTCTCCCTCCCCTGGAGAGACTTACTTTCTCACCAGGGAGATGCTCTGCAGACAATTGCTATCATGTAACACACAGTGCATTAGACCAGTGAGTACACAAAATCGGAAATATTTTGTGGTGTGGCTGCTGGCAGAGGGATCCCAGAAGGCAGAGGAGGTGAAGCCTGCTGGGACAAGGGGGAAAGAAATTGGTATTCTGGGCAGAGAGCAGCATGAGTGAGGCAGGACAGTGCCATGATGTGTGTCAAATAACTTACAGAATAAAATCAATCAACCTTTGAAATGAATGCAAAGTATTCTCGGAAGTTCTCATTTGAGTAATGTAACAGCAGTCTTATGTAAACATGAAGTGAAAGTTAAATTCTCAAAGTTGTTTCCATCATCTGATTTTTAGATGTGAGAGCATCTTAAAGCAGTATTTTTTCTCTCTTCCGCCAAGGAAAGATGCCCAGAGAAATCTATGGCCACTGACATGTTTGGTCACTAGCCGCCTTGGGACACAGAGTCTCTGATTCTAAAACGCTGGTTCCATCACATTGTCTCTTGAATGAGTGACTTAGGATTAGTAATTTAGTGAATGTAGTGTGAGGTCTTTATTTACTGCAATAAAAATGCTCCTGTGCCAGTATTATTTAATGTATGACATTTCATTGTAGTTAATGAATAAAAGAAATAGAAAATAGCTGCTTTTTACTGCATAATAAAAAAAAAAGCAGGAAATCTTATTTTAAACTTTTCCCATTATTTGTAAGGGGAATTCATAATAGACGCTTTCCAGGTTTGATGATTGGTATCATAGCAAGGGCAGAATTTCATAACCCAGTCCTCAAACATCATCAGCAGAAGTTACGCACCTCCAGTGAGTTTCCCATAGAGCTGCTCATGTTACCACACTCAGGCAGGTCACAGGACATAAGAAATACCTTAATACTTTTTTGTTTGACATTTTTACTAAGGTAAAAAGCCCATACTTTTGTAGGTTCAGCCTGCTGTAAACATTTTCCTCTATCTTCCTTCTCCTTCAGATACCTCCATGGCATCTTGATAGAAAATACAGCTCATGTTCCACCATATTGCTAGATAACAGCACAGTCAGCAAACCTGATCTTGGACACACACTGGAAAGGTGAGTACGATGAGGTTTCCGAGGGCTGAGTGACAGACCCCCATATGCTAAAAGCATCCCGGCCATCCTCTATCATTTCAGCCATTTGGTTGCCCTTTTCAGCAAGCAGTTTAAGAAACTGATTTCAATGATATATGGATTTCCAGGACCTAAATATGAATTTTTTGTTTCTCTTTTAATCTTAGACACTGTGTGGTAGAAGAGAAAGCCAGTTCCCAAAGAAGCAACCCCAGAAAATCCATAGCCATTCATTTGATGCATTTATGTTATGACAGTGTTGAACCTAATGGGAAGGAGAGGTGCCTTTTATTGGATGTTTCTGGGAAAAATTATTAGTTCTTTATGGGCTACAGGCCTAAGACCATGGGTGCTACTTTGGAAACTACTCTTGGAAGAAGGAACAGCTTGTCCTTCAGTGGTGCACAGTGTATCTGCATTTAAATATTCCCATCATGCATGAGCACTTCATAGACCACAATCAGACATGTCTTTTCAAAGCACCCTCGAACGAAGGGTTCGAGTTTATTTTAAAAACCACAACAAAGCCCAGTTCCATTGGATGTGTCCAAGGAACATTATTAACTTCTCCTTAGATTATGAGTGTTGATTTTTGGGAAAACAGTTTGAGAGGTACCCCCTTAGAATATTAATGTCCTTATCCCTAGCAAATTTCCTGTCTATAACCATGACTAGCTTACAAGCTTAATTTTGTTTCCACTGTACTACCTTTTTAAGCTAATTTGTCAGTAACTTCTACTTTAATTATAAATGGTAAATTTACACTCATAATAATATCACTTTCCTCTCTCATGTATAACAGTTATTGAGATCAAATTGTGTTTCAGCAGGAACTGGACTCCACCAATGTTTAAAGCCCTGAGCTTTGGCCTCTATGGAGTCATCACTTAATGTTTGTATTCAGCCTTAAGTAAAAACTCAGCCTGTTTTGGCTAGAGTCCCTGGTTTCTTCTGATTTCAAAAGATTCTGATGTTTCAGTATGCCATTCAAAAGGAGTTTTAAGCTTCACCTTGCTCAAACAAGTAGAGGTTCTGCTTTTCCTTCCCGCATAGCCTAATTCCTACAAGTGTTTTTAAAATAGAATTTTCTTTTCTTTTTTAGAGACAGGGTTTTGCTGTGTTGACTAGGCTGGTTTCAAACTCCTGGGCTCAAGCAATCCACCGAACTCAGCCTCCCAAAGTCCTATGATTACAAGCATGAGCTACCACACCTGGCCTAGAAGTCTATTTTTGAAGTACAGTTAGTTTTAATTTGCTCTCAAATTTTAGAAGGGATCATTTGGTGTATTTACTTTTGATGAAATAAAGGTTTACTGAGCAAATTAATACAGCAAATTGGCTTTTTGGAAAGATTTTGAAGAATGTTTTTCATGGTTACTAGTCCATTGTTCTCAAACGGATGATTGGGCCATATTAGAATCATGTATACCTGTTTCTTCAAAATACGTGTCTGCAAACACATGCATCTTCCCAGCTCCACATTCCCTCCATCTCTGGGCACTCACAAGCCTTTTAGAAAAATGCTTAAGTATGTGAGGCATCATTGTATGAATAAAAGCATCCCAGATGATTCTGACCTTAACCCTAACTCAGTCATTCCCAAACTTTGTTGCACATTGGAATCACCTGGGGAACGTTACCAACAACCCTGATGCCCAAATCATGTCCAATGCCAACTAAATCACAATATCTCCAGCTGGTGGTGAGGCTGTTTTTAAAGCTCCTTGGGTGATCCAGTGTGCAGCAAACATGGGGGCCACTGCTTCCTTTGCATAAGGAGTGATGATTCTGATGTATAAATTAAACGTTTTCCCTGTCATTTGCTCTTCTTTCTACCCATAGAGCCTTTCGACTGTGTGAGTCATTTCTATGTATGTGTGCATATGCTTAAACTGAAGCCATACCATAGGATTTTGTGAACACCTGCAGTTCACAAAAGCACTATGTGGGGACCTTGGGCAAATCAGTTTGAAGTCTTGGTTCTCTTATTTGTAAAATGGGTGGTTCATGGAGTGTCATGTAAGGTTCAGTGGTCTTTTCAGCATGTAACTTCAAATTCTGTGATTTTAAAATCAATTTGGAGATGAAACTGTTTGAGGCACTATAGAAATATCCATCTTAGATGCTAATAATGTTGTAGGGCCTACTTTTTACAACTCAAGTTTGCTTCCTCAAATTATTCTGAGCCCCATTTTAAATGCTGTAAATGCTGAGGGCAAATGGAAGCACAGAACTTATCCAGGAGAAGCCCTTGTTTGCTGACACACAACATCGAGGACGACTTAGGACCACAGTAACATACATCTGAAGAGTTGTATTTGTTCACTAATATTTTGTTTAAACTAACGTGGAAATATCTGTCATGAATATTGTATGATGCAGTGTCACACTGTGTGTTTAGTGCCACTTATTTCAGGATAGTTACTAGTGTCATTCATTTTTTTGTGCATTATGTTTACTAATAAATTTCCTGCTAATAATTATGCATAGGTGATTTTAAATTACCTTAATTGGTATAAAGCACACTGATGATGTGCTTTTAGGGAAATAATGACAAACGGGTAAGTAGGTGGTGGTGAACTAAATCAGTTGAAATGCAGGGCCTAGCCACTTAAAAAGCAAAACATTACTGTATGGTCTAAATATAAGCATATGTACACATGGATGTAAGTGACTTGCACAAGATAACAGGTTCTATGGGTAGAAGAGCAAATGACAGGGAAAATATGTAATTATGTATATGTACTAACCATCAGCAGAAACGTCTTCTAACAGCATATTGCCTAGCGGTTTGGTTCTCCTATTTTTGCTATAAAGCCAGAGAGCTAAAACAAAAGAAAAGTGCTCATATAGTACTGCTTTGAATGAGAGGATTTCAGGGCTGCTGAGAAGGTTCCTTCCTCCCTCTTTTAAAACATATCTTCAGGCCAAACAAGTGACAAAATCAGTAGTTAAAAATACTTTTTTTCTCTCCACAGTGTGACTTTGGCAATATATTACAACATAAAGCACAGGTGAGCTCTTTGAAAACCTGCCTTGTTACTCCAGCTCATCACTTTAAAAGATGACCTAGCCTCATGCAAATATATAGTACAAAAAAGATGTATTTTTAAAGCTTTCAGGTAATTGTGGGTATTTTTAACCACACCAAAGCTCCACAAGTGCTGATTTATTAAAATAGCTATAGTGGGATTGTACCTATCAATGAATTCATTCCACTAATACTCACTGATCTTTCTTGTACACTGAATGGATCTTTCCCCTTGCTGGCTTTTACATTATGCATTGGCTATTTGGAAAATATTAATCATGTTTATGTATAGTGTAAAAACTCACTTTCATTAGCATCACCACGATTATAAAAACGTCTTCACAGATTGAGATGCTGCCAAGCTCACAGTAGTAGGTATGAGTCTTCCAACTCCTGAATCTTAGCTTGAAAGCATTAGATTTATTATGGACAACAAATACTTGTTATTTTCCTTGAAATGACAGACTCATTTGGCTTCTTTTTGAGAATGACAGTCAGTCATACTTTCAATAGAAATGGTGCTCTGTGAAAAACTGGCTTGTTCAGCTCGCAGTTAAATCACAAGTGCTTTTCTTTAACATAACATCATACTTCAGCGTGCAGAAGTGCTTTATGTGAACTTTCTACTTAGAGTACTAAAAAGAGAGGTCAAGATTTAATAACACCATTAATTTTTACTGTTTCATCAAGGACATTCTTAAGCGAAGCTGGCCACTTTAATAAAAACTGCGAGGGGCAGTGAAGAGCGGAATGAATACTAGTATAATTTGGTACCACGGCCCTTATTCATACTGAGAAACCAGCAGTTTTACCCACTTTTGCTTTTATGTAATTATTACAAGTGTTCAACAGTGAGAAAGCAAGCGATGTCTTACTACTTTTAGAAAGTAATAAATTATTTTTATGTTTTATTTTCAAGCAGCTTCTCAAGTTTAATTAGTATTCTTATAAGAACATTTTGGGCCATAGGTGGTGGTTGGCACCTGTAACACCAGCACTTTGGGAGGCCAAGGTGGGAGAATTACTTGTGACCAGGAGTTTGAGACTAGCCTGGGTAATGTGACAAGACCCCATCTATATCAAAAAAGGATTAAAAATTAGCTGAGCATGGTGGTGTGCACATTTCATTCCAGCTACTTGGGAGGCTGAGGCAGGAGGATCGCTTGACCCAGGGAGTCAAGCCTGCAGTGAGCCATATTTGTACCACTGTGCTCCATCCTGGGTGAAAGAGCAAAACCCTGTCTCAAAAAAAAAAAAAAAAAAAAAAAAAAAAAGTTTTGACATCATGGGCCTCGTAGGGAATATCAGGGTCCACAAACCACATTTGGAGAACCATTGGTTTCCTAAGTGAGCACACAATGTGTTAGTTTTTTAAAGTTCGTTAAAGACTGACCTCTTTTAAAATACAAAGGCAATTAAGTTTGTAACTCGAACTACTTAAACAAATATGATAAAAGTATAATAAAGAAATAGTTGGGAAAGCTGAATCTCATTCACATTTAATAAAAGCTCTAAAAACTTTATTGCCAACCACTACTGCTTTATAAAATGTTCTTGTGTTCCAGCATGAGGGTAGAGGGGTGAAAACAGATGTAGTTTATTACCATTGCCTGTTAGCGGGGGTCAATATTTAAAGGCCAATCTGGATCATCAATGTAGAAAAGACTTCACAGTTCAGGATATTATGTGCTGAAGAAAAAGAGGTCAAGCAACCCTCTGAAGGCCAGGATCCAGGAGAAAAATTTGCAAAAACTGTTTTGGTGAACAAATTTCACCAAAGCAAACAAGATGTATCTCCCTCCACCTTCCATGCCCTACTCCCAGCAGATACTTTACTAAGATGTTGACAATTCCCAAATTAATTTCTTAAATGCACATTCTTATTTTATAGATATGCAAATAGATCTCTGGCTATTTTTGACGAGCCAATACATCCACTTTCAGTAAGTGACACTTTCTTTGAGGTTCTATTTTTGTCTCATAGAGTTGTGTTTAGTTCATGCTAAACTCAAAATCACCTACCTTTAAGTCTCGCCTCTGTTGTGTCTAATCATCTTATATAAGGAGTGTTGTCAAGTGGGCATGCTGGAGTAAGAGCTGACTTGCAGCTTTGTTTAATTCATGTGCTAAGGGGAGTAACTATACCATCCAGATAACAAAATGCGTCATTTCAAAAGATAATTTTCTATAGCAGCAAACAATATAAATATTTGTAAATAGTCCTGACAAATATGCACAATGTCTTTGAATAGAATTAGAAAACAGTTTAAATTTAAATCAGTTTAAATGCTATAAAAAATTTAAAACTTCCTTCTTTAGACATATGATAGCCATAGGACCACCTTAGCATCTCTGTTTACAGGAAACCAAAAATATTTTAAGATCCCGCTGTTTATATTTTTGAAAACTAAAAGACATTTTATCCCATCAAAATTATTTTAAGGGGCACATTGGCACAAATGGGAACATTGCCATCTTAAGAGTACTTAAAAAGTTTTCTTGTGTGGATATTTATATTGCCTTTTTTTGTTCTTTCAGCAACAAAATTCTCCAGGGAAATCCTTTGAGGATGATCCCAAACGCAACTGTATTTTCAGATATTTCTGTACTCTTTTTCAAGTCACAAAACTAACAGCTCCATGTGCAATCGTAGCTTTGGTAAGATATTTCTTATCTATAAAGCATCTTTAACAACTAGTCTCCTACTCAGGGTATGGCCATGTTTCTAACCAAAAGTAGATTCCTGAAATTATCATCAGATCTTTTAAGAGAAACCTGTGCAAGCAAAGTAAATACACATATTTTAATTTAATCATCATTATGGTTTACAATGATGCCATTGTTTTTCTTATCACAGAATAATTACTATTAAAGGCAGCAGGAGAGATTTCTGGTTTCTCCTTCAACAGATTCCAATGTAGGTCTAAGCTGAGTCCCAGGCCATATTCCCCGGGCACTTCTGATGCACGCAGTGACTGGGAGCTGCTGCTCTGAATGCTTTGTTGTTCCTGCTGACCTCTTGTGCCTGCTCGGGAAATTGCCCAGGAATGTGCTACCAGTTAATACTTGGACATGGGCTTTGCTAAGCCATAGCGGTGTCCTCACCTCTACATCGTTCTCACAGAATTCCTGTGGTGAGACTCATTCTGAATATGAAGTTCTCTTCAGATGGCTGGGATTGGTTTACCCCTCCCCACACTAACCTGTAGAGGAATGTCAACCATGCAGCCAGGAGAGAAAAGATACTTAGAGCAGTACCCTCTCCTTTAGCATCTGGCTAGAGCTTTGAAGAGAAGGCTTTTGCTGGGCACCTGCATGGAAACCCCTCCGTGGGCAGTGGATCAGAGGCAGGCCTTTTCACGGAGCTGCAGGCCCATTGGAATGCTCAGCACATGCTGGTGGGAAGCAGGAGTGGAACTTCTAGCTGGAGAGAGAGAGAGAGCTGATGCAGGAGGGAAAGCTGGGTTGAAAGAAGGGGGAGTTCACTGTAGACAGGCTAAATTTGGTGTGCCTGTGAGATAGGAGAGTGGCCGTGTGCAGTCATTATTTGGATCTATAGGACTGGAGCATGAGTCTGAGCTGGAAATAAGAAATGAGGAGTAAGAGTAGCTGCTCAAGTCCAGGCATGGTGGCTCACACCTGTAATCTCAGCACTCTGGGAGGCTAAAGCAGGTAGATCACCTGAGATCAGGAGTTCAAGACCAACCTGACCAACATGGTGAAACTCTGTCTCTACTAAAAAATTAGGTGGGCATGGTGGTGGACACCTATAGTCCCAGCCAGTTGGGTGGCTGAGGCAGGAGAATTGCTTGAACCCAGGAGGCGAAGATTGCAGTGAGCCAAGATCACACCACTGCACTCCACCCTGGACAACAAGAGTGAAACTCTGTCTCAAAAAAAAAAAAAAAATAGTGTGGCTGCTCAAATGCAGAGAAAGTGTTTAGAATGAAAGTGGAGAAGCCGGGCATGGTGGGATACACCTAAAGTCCCATCTACCTGGGAGGCTGAGGCAAGAGAATCACTTGAGATCAGGAGTTTGTGTCTAGCCTGGGAAGCATAGCAAGTCCCCATCTCTAAGAAGTAAAAGAAAAGAAGGTGGACAGAAGATAGCTCTGTAAGGACTACCAGCATGTAAGGGACAAGCCCCCAGTAATGTGGCTAAAGGGGGAGGAGGACGAGCAGGAGAGGATAATAAAAGAAGAACAAAGGGTTCAAGATAGGAAAGGCTGTGGTCACAGTGCTAAATGCTGCCAAGAAATTGTCTGTTCCATAAATACCCCCTGGATGCCGACCCTGTGCCACTCTTCCAAGTGCTGGAGTAGAGAAGACGACAGGTTGAAAACGGTCCTTGTCTTTATGAGCTTATGTTGTAATGAGGAAAGTATTTTTTTCAGGTAATAGGAAATAGCAAAACAATAAAGCAGGATAAAGAGAGAGGGATGGGAGGAGCTCACTAATTGAGAATGATGAGGAAGAGCCTCTCTAGAGAGGTCACATTTGAACAGTGACCTGACTATAAATCAAGGATGATAAGGAGTTCTAGCATGACAGGCAGTGGAATGAGAGCGAAGACTGAGATAGGAACATGTTTCATGTGTGTTCAAGGAACAAACAGCAGGGGCCCACATGGTGACAGGAATGAAGGAAAGAATGGAAGAGGTGAGGCCGCACAGGCAGTGCCATGGCTCACAGAGCCTTTTGGCTTGCAGGCCATGGGAAGAAGTTCAGGTTTTATTCCAGTTTGATGAGGAGACTCATGGTAGATCTTGAGCAGCGGAGTGCAGTGTTCTTAATTTAAGAGGTTATGGTGACTGCTTTGGGGAGAGTAGACCACAGTTGGGAGGAAGGTTGGGACAGAGAAGAAGACCAAGAAACAACTAGGGTGATACAGGTGAGCCATGACCCGTGGCAGCTCAGAATCTGAAGCAGGCAGCCTACCGGTGAAGGTGGGCACAGAGTGTTTGCACACAGATTGGAGCAGGGTAACTCACATGTAAGTATTAGTCCCCAGGAGCTAGGCCAGTGACAATTGAGGGCCAGCTTGGGGAGTGGAGCCTTGGGGTGAAGGGCTCTGGTTTGTAGGTGTCAAGACTCTGAGGACCTTGGCAAGAGGAGTCTCAGGAGAGTGATGGGGGTGGGTGAGGTGGGTTAAGGAGAGATGGGAGGTGAGGAGCTGGCAACAGGGCCTGATGCTGTGAGCAAATGAGAGGATGCCTCTGGGGAGCTGCGGGGAGCAGGATGGGAACAGGAAACACATTTGTATTGGGGGAAATCTCTGGCAGAGAGGGAGAAAGTCTTCAAGAAGAGGTGATTTGGGGAACAGTGTTCTGCAGTAGTGGGATGGGATCCACCGTGCTGATAGAAGAGCTGGTGTTAAAAAAGGAACTTCCTCACTGACCCAGGAGGACAAGTGGTATCGGTTTCAGCAGGTCCAGCTTACCAGTAAAGGTGACAGGAATTTGAGGGCTCGCAAATGCTGTTTAAGTGCTCTCTAATGAGTACTGTGGAGTTGAACCCTGGGAGGGAGGGTCATTCCTAGGATACTCGATAGTGCAGAGTTAGGGGGAAAGAGAGCAGAATCTCTCATAAGAACGTATCATGTTCAAGAGCCATTTGATTTTGAAAACACAGTTGAGTTCGGAGAACATTGCCAGATCTGAGCCGCCAATCTGATAACCCTCAGACAATAAATGAACTCTCTTAAAAGGAACTGTTTTCCTTTGGTCTTGATACAAAGACGTCAAGTAGCATAGAGACATACTGTTCTGCAGAGCACCCTCTGGGATAGGAATACCTCCCACCTCACCTCTGTCACCTTCACTCAGCTGGTCCCTCACCCAGTTCTTTATAGGATAGAGATTGGATAGATAGAAAATACTTCCTGAGATTGTCTCACAAACTGCTTGGCTGGTTGAGAGGAACCCCAGGGATGCAGAGGCCGACAACTGTCTCTGCCTTCAAGCTAACCGAATTGACTGAATGCAGATACTGTAGGACAAGCAATGAGTTTTCAAGAAGTGATTGCAGAGATGTGGAAAATAGGGGCTGTGAGCAGGACCCTCCTTTCATACACATGCGTTCCTTATGAAGCACTGAATATGGAGATTATTTCTCAACCACAGAGACCTGCACTTGTCATGCTGTCTGCACAGCAGGCATTGGGAAGCGCTCTTGACCGCAGTTCCTCAGCGGGTGTCCCAAGAGTGGGTTAGTTATTGTGAAAAGGAGAAGACAGCAGTATCCTCAGTATCACTTGGGTGTTACATATTCAAGCATGGCACACCTGTAAAATTCCTATTACCTGCCAGCCAGGTGTGACACAGCACACGGACGGCGCTGGAGCGTTTCCTGAATAACCTAAATCTGCACTGGGCCTGAGTTTGTGCTGCCTTTCATGAGTGTGAAGGTGCTGATGGTGCCTCTCTTCATGCCCAGGAATGTCCAGTCATCCCTGTGACCAAAGTTGGCCTGGAAATGTCTATGGGCAGAGTAGGCTGCAGAGGTATCTGACTATGACTGTGATTTGGCCTCTTACTTTGAGCAAAGTCTCTGCGGAACATAAGAATAAAAGGCACTTACTTTCTGGTCAAAACCAGAAGAAATCTTTCATTCTTAAATGTTCTTATCACCACACTTACACTGAACTGAAATCAAAGACCAGTGCTCTATTTTGCAGGTGTACATTGAACGACTTTTAACCAATGCTAACATCGATCTTTGTCCTACTAATTGGAAAAAGATTGTCCTTGGAGCCATGCTTCTTGCCTCCAAGGTTTGGAGAAACCGTGGTCTGTGGAGTGAGGATGACAGCCAGAATCCCCAGGACGTTGCAGTTGAGAACATGTGAGTTTGTCAGATTGTGGCGATCTTCGTAACCATTTTCCATGCCTACTTTGTTCTCCAAGTTAACACTCTAAGAAATATCTTTATAGGTTTCATTGTGCAGATAAAGGAAATCGGCATAAGACCGCAGACTTCTCTCTATCCAGCTTTAGTGTAACAGTTTGTATTTTCCAGCATTAATGAGTAGGTCTTGATGTGTTATTGTTGTAATAACCTGCTTGATAAACTGAAAAGTATTTTTCTGGTTGATTTTTGGCAAACCTCTTACAAGTGTACTATCAGAATGATAAGGTACAGTAAGTATCTTTATAGCTTTTGAGAAGCTGCCTGCTAGTTTCAGTCCCTTTTTAAGGGGAAAACATCTGGCCTTTGAAATAATTGGCCACTGTTAAGGTCATATGGCCTCTGGACTATGGGGAAGTTATGGCTTCAACTTCAATCACCCATTGTGTATTTGCTTTTGCTGGTCCTTTCTTCCCCCTTTTATCTGAAGATCTGTTTTCATAGGATCTTTGAGATATGAAGTTAAATAGCCACAGATTCCTGTGCCCTGGCCCCTACCCATTGAGAGTGTTGCATGTGTTTGGAAATTGATCTGATGAGTTAAAAGCTCTATCGTTCGCCAATGCAGCTTGAGAAGCATTCTGGGGCATCACCACATACCCACCACACTCACAAGGCTCCATGGGTACTCAGACATCTGCAGCAGCACTCTTTGGGCCTGGAATTGCCCATGACCATGTGAGGAGCCTTGCAGAGTCATGGGGTTCCTCCCAGATGCACCAACATGACACTGAAACACAGCTTCACCAGGGCTCCCTTCCAATCCGGCCTCATGACTGCTGTGAAGGGAAGGGCCCTGGAGCTGGCAGGCAGGGTCAGCAGGGAGGCATTTCCAGCAGAGCCTTCGTGGGTGCCCACTAGACAGTCAAGTCAGCTGTGTGGGCTGCATCTGTGCAAGACAAGGGAGCAGTTTTGTTTACATTGAGCAGCAGCAGCAGATCAAGATCATGCCAGGTATTGGCAAGAGTTAGTGTTATGACTTTTACTTATGACTCCAGATAAGACTGTCATTCACAATCACCTCAGTGTACGTCTACAATTGAAGATATGGTGTCTATTGTAGATGTACCTCAGGGTATATCTATGTTTAAAAATCACCCCTTTGTGGCTGAGCTCAGTGGCTCATGCCTGTAATCCCAGCACTTCGCGAGGCTGAGGTGAGTGGATCGCTTAAGCTCAGGAGTTGAAGTCCTGCTGGGTAACACAGTGAACCCTGTCTGTACCAAATGTTTTTTTAAAAAATTAGCTAGGCATGGCGGCAGGCTCCTGTAGTAGTCCCAGCTATTTGGGAGTCTGAGGTGGGAGAATTGCCTGAGCCTGGGAAGTTGAGGCTGTAGTTAACTGTGATCACATCACGGCACTCCAGCCCTGGGTGAAGGAGCCAGACCTTGTCTCAAAAAGAAAAACAAAAAACCATTTTTGCCACCACTTTGCTAATAGTGTAAACCAAGTGATCATGGTGATATTTCTGATAGCCATTTTAACAAAAAGTGTGACAGCAAATGAATTTGAAACAAACAGAAGTACTTTGGAAGTTCCAAACGCTAAAGTGGCTTTGATCATAATCATACTTTTGTAAACTGGTCCCTTGAAGAAAGCAAGATTTGTGACTGCCTGAGTTCTCGTTGCCTGCTGCCTAGCCAGAGCTGATTTATTAAGACAAGGGAATTGCAATAAATAGTTTAATTCACACAGAGGCAGCTGTATGGGAGTCCAGCATTCTACTGTTACTCAAATTAGTCTCCCAGAAACTCTGGGATGTTTTGTTAAAGAATAATTTGGTGGGTAGGGGGTCAGAAAGAGGGGAGTGCTGATTGGTCAGATCAGAGATGGAATCAGAGAGAGTTGAAGCTGTCCTCCTGCACTGAGTCGGCTCCTGGGTGGGGGCCACAAAACCGGATGGGCCAAGTTTATTGACTGAGGTGGTGCCACCTGATCCCAGTGCAGGGTCTGCAAAATATCTGAAGTTCTGGTCTTAGGTTTCACAATAGTGATGTGATTCCCAGGAGCAATATGGGGACGTTCAGACTCTTGCAGGCTTCAGCTGCATGACTCCTCAACCATACTTTCTTTTTTTTTTTTTTTTTTGAGATGGAGTCTCGCTCTGTCGCCCGGGCGGGAGTGCAGTGGCCGGATCTCGGCTCACTGCAAGCTCCGCCTCCCGGGTTTACGCCATTCTCCTGCCTCAGCCTCCCGAGTAGCTGGGACTACAGGCGCCTGCCACCTCGCCCGGCTATTTTTTTGTATTTTTTAGTAGAGACGGGGTTTCACCGGGTTAGCCAGGATGGTCTCAATCTCCTAACCTCGTGATCCGCCCGTCTCGGCCTCCCAAAGTGCTGGGATTACAGGCTTGAGCCACCGCGCCCGGCCTCAACCATACTTTCTAATCTTGTGGCTAATTTGTTAGTCCTGGAAAGGCAGTCCAGTCCCCAGGCAGGAAGCAGATTTGTTTTGGGAAAGGGGTGTTACTGTCTTTGTTTCCAAGCTAAACTATAAACTATGTTTCTCCTGAAGTTAGTTTGGCCTCTGCCTAGGAATGAACAAGGACAGCTTAGAGGTTAGAAGCAAGATAAAGTCAGTTAAATCAGCTCTCTTTCACTGTCATGATTTTCTCAGTTACAATTTTTGCAAAGGCGGTTTCAAATTTATAATCATGAACAGGTGAATTGTTCTCAAAACCTGCAGCTCAGCTGACTCGGGCTCTGAGTTCTAGTCACAGGATCAGAGCGCATGCAGGGATCTGTGCAGGTTTCCACAGAAGCGAGCTCCAGGAGCAGTGGGGGCAGAGCCCAACTCCAAGAAGACCAGTTCCAAACAGTGCTGTTGCTGTGTGAATGGAGAAACACCAGGAGCTATGCTCCGAGCAGGCTGCTTCTGTTTATGATCTTGGGACATAGAAAAGCATATGTCAAAGCATTTAATAGACATTTGTCTCAACCCCTGCTGTTGACTGTTTGCAATGGTCCCATTTTGAGTGTAAATTTAGTAGTTAAAAATTGGTGTCTGTCGGATTTTTCTTAAAAATTTCCAACATCTATATGTCTTCCTAGAATATGTTTCCTTTCTAAAGAGTAAGTTAAACTGAGTAGCCATTATTCAGAAAGTTTGCTGTGTCTGTAAAGGTTATGCTCTTCAATCATCTAGCCATTATAAAAAACCACAAAGCCCAGAAGATGCATAATTCTATGTACAGAATGCTTTTCTTCAGTGAGTAAACCTCTATTAAGAGACATGTTAATTCTGTAAAGTACTGTATTTCTACACAGTTACAATGTACTGGTGGAGTAAATAAAAAGGGATTATGAAGTGCTATTAATTCCTGTAGTAAGTCAGATCCTGATCAGCTGTCTATTCAAATATTATTTGATTTACATTTCTATAGACTTATGGACATGTGAACAGGAAATTAATTTTGGAATTAGGTTCAGCTGGGTTTGAAGTTCAGCAAATGAGATCACCACATTTTGGCTCATGATCTAACTGTCCCCCTTACAGGGGGATTACAGCCTTAGATTTTTTCCCCCTCTGAAATAATAGGCTGGTTCTCCATGGGTCCACTTGTGGCCATGGAGATGCACCCAGTCCTCTTGTTGGTGCTTTTCTTCTTCAGTAAGCTCCTTCCTGTTGCCGTCCTGGTAAAAATGCCTGGAGGTCCTTCAGAGCTAATAAATGGCACCGTCATTCCTGTCATGGTATTGCTATTGCGGGGCTTGTGAATGAGCATGGAGTTTGAGTTGTGCAGCTGCCCTAAGGGAACTCTGAAGAATGAGCCCCGAGGCAGCAGCATGAATGCAGAAGAGGCTTCCACCTTTCCCTCATCCCAAACTTGGGGTGCTGGGAGGTAGAAGAGACCCCAAGCAGCTGTGTCTTGCTTGGACATTAGTGTGGGAACCCAACCAGGCAGCCTTTATTTGTTTCAGAACAGAATTTAGAGCATCCCAGTAGCTCAGAAGGATATTTTTAAAGATAACCCGCTTGACTAGAACTGTCCTATGTTGGTTTAATTGTGTTTCTTCTACCCCAGGAGCAAGATGGAGAAGTGTTTTTTGGAGCTACTTGAGTTTAATATTCATGTGTCTGCCAGTGTTTATGTAAAATATTACTTTGACCTGCGTGCCTTGGCAAATGACCATGACGTGTATTTTCTATTTCATTTTCTTCACAAAGATAAAGCCCAGAGACTGAAGGTAAGGATGTGAAGTCACTTAGCAGAGTTTATCGTCAGCCACAGAAGCCAGCATCTGTGACAAAATCATATTAAGTAGTGATTAGGAAAATGAAAGGCTTAAAATTAACAGACCAAAAAACTTATTTCTTAGGCAACATATTTCTTTCCTTTTATGGTTTATACAAGGATCCATATTCTTTTATTTATTTGTTTGCTTATTGAGACAGAGTTTCACTTTTGTTGCCCAAGCTGGAGTGCAATGGTGAGATCTCAGCTCACTGCAACCTCCGCCTCCCAGGTTCCAGTGATTCTCCTGCCTCAGCCTCCTGAGTAGCTGGGGTTACAGGCATGCGCCACCACTGGCTAATTTTGTATTTTTAGTAGAGACAGGGTTTCTCCATGTTGGTCAGGCTGGTCTCTAACTCCTGACCTCAGGTGATTCACCCGCATCAGTCTCCCAAAGTGCTGGGAATACAGGCATGAGCCACCAGGCCCGGTCAAGGATGCATATTCTTAAAAATTTATTGATATCCTTTCTGCTGTGACCACATTATTAATTAAATTTAGTCTGTTCTTAGTGGGTTTTATTTTTAACCTCTACCCATTCACATAACAATATGTGAATAAATGCAATTGTATTCCTAATTATATCTACATACACAGTACACTTAACCACTCTTGACTGTCTTTTACTTATGCAGTTTGCAAATTCATGTTATCATCTGCTGTATATAGCACAGTGCAGTCCCATGAGTTTATTAGACAAAGCAGAAGTGGCTGAGAGACTTGTACTTAGACTGTATAAGGTGCCAGTGTTTCAAATACTGGGTCGGAAGGACATGGGTTTTTAATGAAAATGGTAACTTTCATGGGGCAACATATGATTTATGGCTTATGACTCTTGGTGAGTATACAGGAAAATTACCACTGTAATTGACACATTTAAAATTGCCACTGTCTCTGTTATCTTGGTGGTATTTTAGAATAATACATTTTTCTACCACAATGTGCAAGTAAAGTAGTACCTTTTGGTGTTCCACTCATGAGACTTCTTAGATGTTTCAAGACAGCCCAGAGCACACCTGCCTCAATAAAATTTGCTTTGAGTATTTGGTAACTAAACAGGATCGGGTAGAATTTGAATCGCTAAGGAAATTGATGTTTTGGCACAAGTGCATGTTTATTATGTCGAAGGAACAAGTGCACAGGTAACAGATGATATTGTTGTTAGGTGCTTGTCACAATACTCTTGAAATCTTTGGGAGTCCTATTTTATTTTTTTGTGATAGTGTTATCAAGCGATGAGCACAATTTTAAAATAACTCAATAAAATAAATTCCTCTTGGTTCTGGAAATCTATTCATAGCCCTTAAAGAAGCTCACCTTAGTGAATGGGCAGGGAGTAGCATCCTCAGGACCTGGCAGTGTAAACCTCAGCCAAAGCAGCTGCGAAGGAACCATCTAAAGAAATCTGTATGTGTGGCTTCTCATCAGCAATGCCTTTTAAAACATGTTGGAACCCTTTTTAACATTGTACCTGTTTTCTCTTTGAATGACTTTCCTAGGCTATGTCACGGCCGTGTGAATACAAAGACTTACATCAAGATGCCACTGCTATGAAAAGGGCGATCAGCATGAACTTCATTGGTATTCGGTGCCCTAATGCCATCTTATCTTAAAGAGAGAAATTAGCCTTATAACATCCTGAACTTCTCAACTATAAAGACAAGAAAATACTTGTCCTGCCAGAAAGAAAAAATTAGGATTTTCTTTTTTTCTTTTTTGTTTTTTGTTGTTATTGTTAGTGTTTAGGATTTTCATCAAGAGGAAACATCTTCCATCAAGAGGAAACATCTCTCAGTTACCACCCTGTGGATGGGTCATGGTGGTATAAACAGTGGGTGCCAGGTGCTTCCTGCCCTTCCTCTTCCACTGGTTCCAGATGGCATTCCTAGGGCACCACCTTCCTGAACAACTCCTGGGGAGGAAGAGTGTCGCATGGACACAGCACATCCCAGCTCAGAGTCTACAGTCACCCACAGTCTCAAGCAGGTGCCAGTGGTGTCCACAGTCACCCACAGTCTTAAGCAGGTGTCAGAGGTCTGAGCTGAGCTGGAGCTCAAAAAACTTTAGAATTCGCTCCAGATTTGTGAAAGGACCTGGGTTTGGTTCTCTGTCCACTGAGGCACTGAATGCGTGATGGCCCAAAAGTCAACAATTGTGGGAAGAGAGAGTGGCATCGGGGCAAGGCTGTCATTACGCCAAGCACCAGGGTAGCTCAGGCCTGGTCATCTAGTCTTTGGAGGGAATCTGTGTGTGTGAAATGAGGCCCCCATATCATGGTTATGAAGGAAGCGATGAAATCAGCTCATCTTCCCCCAGGCCGATAATGGTCACACCACCTAGGGAAGCAGCAGAAGACCTGACCTTGGGATTGTTAGGGGAGCTACGGAAGTGAAAACTGAATTTACCCAGTTCCAGGAAAACAACAAAGGAGGAGGAGCATCTGGGTTCAAAATGTTATCAGAAGATCATTTTCCCAGCTAATCTTGCCCTGGTGCATTGTATGGTTTCAGCACTTGTCAACAAAACAAAAGCCCCTCAATAATTCTAACACAGGGAAACACCACAACTCACATTTTCCAGTGCACTGCAGTGGTTCAAGAGATTGCTGGTGCTGCCTGCATCTGTCAGTCTGTTCACATATGGAGAGGAGCAGCGGTTCCCATGGCAGTGGCTTCTGCATCCTGAGGAAGCTTGCCCAGACATTGGTTGTAATAACTGGTGGCACCCACTGACATGCAGTCCACAATGGGAATCCTGTGGTGCAAAGGACTGCCCCGCTTTTCAATCAAGAAAGAATTTTCTGGCTTCCAACATAGAAAGTGCTGAGGATCAGCTGCCTCAGAGACTACAAGGGAAACACTTTCTGAGAGTATTTTTTTTCTTGCAAGAACACCAGATCCCCACCAATGTGAGATGTTAGATCAAGTTTTAGTGCAAGGGTAGATGTTGGGGGTAGAAATCTGAGATGCCCTATGATCCCTGCTGTCTTTTGTTACACCCTGAATCCTCATCTTTCCTTGGGTACGGCCAAACCTGTGCCTTGTTCTAGACGTTTGAATATGGCAAAGTGAGGGAGTGGCTCTCTAGGAGTTACCTTTCCTTTCCTTTTATCAGGAACAATAGGAATCCCTATTTTCTTTCTTGCGTTTACTTTCACAGTGCAGTGGTTTGGAATATTCCACTATCGATTTATGACTTCCTCTTCCAACCATAATCTATGGCCCTTTATATGTAATTGAATATTTTCATATATTGACATTTTGTGTCTGAAGATGAAATATTAGACTAAACCTATGAAAACACTTCATGCAAAGCCTACAGTGATTGTAGAGTCTACTCTTTGGTGAATACACAAATTGATCTGTTAAAAATTGTATTAGATGTGATAATGATATTTTCTTTCTTATCTTCACCTGTTAGATATACTTACTTTAATTCTTCCAAAATTAATGATATGTTTTAAAGTACTGCCAGGATATTTGGAGTTGATAGTTGAAAATAAATGGCAAAATAAGAATTACTGAAGCCTAGTGATAATGTATTTAGGATGGGTTTATTATCTATTATCCCTATCGGTAAATGTTTAAATTTCCATGCAAACCTATACATAAGAACTTAAACTTTTCTACAAAACCCTTCTTGCTCTGCACTTGAGCACCAGTGCATAACAAATTAAAGGAAAATGGATTCTCCTTCGGGAAGTTTGACTGGACTCTCCCTTTCTTTTCCCTGCAATGCAGGGAGAGCATTTTGAGGTCACCATGGGGTGAGGTGGCCATGAGGGGGGGTCCTGGAGATGGCGGCCTGGAGGAGTGAGTGTGTGGACACGGGTTTCGTGGCCACGAATCTCCCTTGGGTCTTTCTGGTTGTGGTGGTGGCTGTGAGGATGGTGTCTGGGGATCCTCTCCAGGGAAGTTCTCCGCTTGTGCGGTCTCCCTGTGGAGACGGCCCGAGGATGTCTGGGGAGGGATTCATAGGGTCGCCCCTATGTGACCCGCCCTGTACGGCTCTCCAGGAAAGTGTGTTTTTAGGGGTAGTTGCAGGAAGTCATCGCCTGAGTGGAGGGTGGGGCCTGGTCTCCCCTGTAGGGTGGGCGGGATGTCTGAGGGAGTGCTGGAGGGTTATCCTCTGCGTCGGGGTCGCTGTGCAGGGTCTCAGCACAGTCCTTGACCTGGGGAAGTCATTGTGGAGACTCCGAGGTGGTTGGGGCCGGGAAGGGGGCAGCCTGGGCGGTCTCCGTGGTGTGTCAGCGTCGCTGATGCTAGGACACAGGTATGGGAGGAGTCTTTGGAGGGGAATAATTGTGGAGTCCCCACGTTCTGGGCTGGGAAAACTCGAGGGTGCTCTAAGGCCGAGGCCAATGCGGGGTGCTCAGGAATAACTTAGTGGGGCTCACAGGGGAATAACGGGTCCCCGGAAGGGTAAAGGGTGGAAGGAAGGGACCTCAGCAGGTCAGGTCTTGCAGGGCCCTTCTGTAGGGCTTCTGGGAGATAAAGGCTTGGAGCTCCTGAGGTCGCCGCTACCCAGAGCAGGGTATTTTCCTTGCCAGACCTTCCTGGGTCCCGGAGGAAGGAAGTGAACCCGGCTTCGCCCTCTCCACCGCCACGCTCGACTGGGCCAGGAGGCCTGGGCTCCGGCCTGCCCCACGTGGCGCTTGGCAAACGCAGTTCAGGGGAGTCGCGGGACTCCTGGGCGGGGAGCCTCCTAGAGCCTTGGGGATAGCGGGGCCACCCCTTTAGGGCCTGCAGCAGAAAGGGACGGAGCTAGTGGCGCACCTCTGCATCCTTTTATTTCGGAATTGGAATTGGGTTTTTTTGGTCCACAGTACAAAGCGGAGGGTGGGGCGGGCGTCCCCCTGCTCGTTCTCTGCCAGGCGCAGTTTCCAGCGCAGATCCGAGCCCCTGGGGCGCGACCGCGGGCTCCTGCGACTGTCAGGGGCCGTCTGTGCCCTGCGAGGGCCAAGCCAGCCCCACAGCTCCTGCGCGGGCCAGCGAGGGCGCCCTGTGCGGAACACGGACCAGCAGCCCGAGCTCCCGAGGTGGACAATTTTGCTCCAGAACCAGCGGCGCCAGTTAGGGCTACAAACAGAGGGAATGCAGAGGGCTGGCCAAAAAATGAAGAAAGAAAAAAGGCAAATTATTGAATGTGGTAGTCATGAAATGTGGGGTTTGGTGTTGGATTTGAGTGTTACATTGGGTTTCGAATGAATGATTACGATGCAGTTTTAGGGCTGGCGGTAGACAACTGTAAAACTCCAGGCACCTGCGGAGAGGAGAGTCGTTGATAACCTTTCTGTGAGAAGGCTCTTTTGAGCTGTGTTTGATAAGAAATATGCCCAGCCCTATGAGTACAGCTTTCACGTTCCTAACAATCTGCGAGTCAGAGTGGTCTTCAATAAATGACTATCATTTCCTTTGCTTCTCTGACCTGGTTAAATGAATCACATGATTCCTGCCCATTAATACCCCTGCATCAGCGACCAAACCTTTGCGTGTTAGCTTGCTGCCTCCCTTTTCTTTACCATACTTTGAAGTGGACAAGAAACAGATTTCATTTTTAAAATCTGTGACTTGGGTTTCTGAAAGTCTAAAACAACCTAAGTGTAGGTTGACATGTTGATTCTTTAAAACGCTTTACTGAGGTAAATTTTATATAATATGATCACATATTTTAAGTACAACTCCAAGCTGTTTAGTATACTTATAGAGGCATGCGAGCTTCATTACCACCTAAGTTTAGAATATTTGTATCTTTTAAGAGGAAAATGCATCCTATTTGCATTCACCTTTGCTATGTCATATCTAGACAACAATCAATTTTTTTTTTTGCTTTTTTTTAAATTGTACTTTAAGTTCTAGGGTACATCTGCACAATGTACAGGTTTGTTACATATGTATACATGTGCCATGTTGGTGTGCAGCACCCATCAACTCGTCAGCACCCGTCATCTCATCTTTTACATCAGGTATAACTCCCAATGCCATCCCTCCCCGCTCCTCCCTCCCCATAATAGGCCCTGGTGTGTGATGTTCCCCTTCCCGAGTCAAAGTGATCTTGTTGTTCATTTCCCACCTATGAGTGAGAACATGCGGTGTTTGGTTTTCTGTTCTTGCTATAGTTTGCTGAGAATGATGGTTTCCAGCTGCATCCATGTCCCTACAAAGGACACAAACTCATCCTTTTTTATGGCTGCATAGTATTCCATGGTGTATATGTGCCACATTTTCTTAATCCAGTCTGTCACTGATGGACATTTGGGTTGATTCCAAGTCTTTGCTATTGTGAATAGTGCCACAGTGAACATACGTGTGCATGTGTCTTTATAGCAGCATGATTTATAATCCTTTCGGTATATACCCAGTAATGGGGTGACTGGGTCATATGGTACTTCTAGTTCTAGATCCTTGAGGAATCGCCATACTGTTTTCCACAATGGTTGAACTAGTTTACACTCCCACCAACAGTGTATAAGTGTTCCTATTTCTCCACATCCTGTCCAGCACCTGTTGTTTCCTGACTTTTTAATGATTGCCATTCTAACTGGTGTGAGATGGTATCTCATTGTGGTTTTGATTTGCATTTCTCTGATGGCCAGTGATGATGAGCATTTTCT